ACAGCTTGTTCGCCACAACAGGATTCATACTGGAGAGAAGCTCTACAAATGTAAAGGATGTGGCAAAGCTTTTAAAAGAAAGTCATATCTTGATGGCCACAACAGGATTCAGACTGGAGAAAAGCCCTACAAATGTAGAGAATGTGGCAAAGATTTTAATCAACAATCATCACTTACTTGACACTAGAGAACCCATACTAGAGAGAAGTCTTAAAATGTGAAGAACGGCAAAGCTTTTAAAATTGAAGATCACATATTACTAAACATTATAGATTTTATTCTGGAGAGAAGTTTTAAAAGTGAAAAACATTGCATCAGTGTCTTTAAGGATGAATCAACCTTTATTTCACAGTAGTTCAACACTATTTCAAACCAGACATATGATAGCACAGAAATTATACAAGTGTAAAATAGATGTCAGAGTCTCCAACTGTTGTTCACACCCTACTCAGGACCTCAGAATTTATGTGAGTGAGAGGAAATGTGGAAAAATTTTTGCAAAGCTTTTGGCCATTGATCAAACATTTTTAAAACACTGGAAGATTTATAGCATATAGAAACCCAAAGAATGTGTCCAAGACTGTATTCAGTTTCACACATTTTTCAATTTCTGACCTCATACCTCTAGCAAATGTGGAGTAGCATTTGTCCAAAGTATGTACCTTAGTTAACAGCAAAATAATTACAAAATACCTTGACAAATATAACAATTGTAATTTTCTTATCTATAGCCCATCCCCAGGAGGGAAAGAATCATTTAAATGTAGAAAATGGGCAATTGCTTTTGATATTTGCTGAAAATTTCTTAACATCTTGAGCTGATATTGTAGAAATAAGGAAATATAAATATAGAGTTCTGCATCAGAAATGTCTTAGGTTTATATGAAGTTGTAATTTTTTAATTTTTAGATTTGAACTTAGGGGCATTTAATCAGTAAACTATATCCCTAGATTTTTTTCATCATTTTTATTTAGAGATATGGTCTGCTAAGTTGGTTAGGGCCTCAGTAAGTTATGAAGCCTGGCTTTGAATTTGAAAAACTCCTTCTGTAGTTTCTCAAGGGTCGCAGGCATGGACCACCATGCCTGTTGTATAGAGCATTTTTACTTTTATTTGCATTACATATGTAGTTTGTTACTACATAAAAAGTGTGTATTTCTTAATGTTAACCATGTCATGCATTTAATGATGTTATTAGGTCACATACCTCCCCTATTCACTTTGCTAATGGATGGATGCAATAGTAAAACATTCTCTTGGGTAAATAATGCTATAACTTGTCCATTAATTATTTCTTGTTTAATCAAGTTTTATTTGGGGAATATTATTTATGTAAATTATCTTTGTAATTATTGAAAATTTCGGACAGTTATAGGAAGGACCTAGGGATATTAAATAATGCCCAGATTTCCCTAGTTTGAATTATGACTTTAACATTTCACCTTGTATAGTTGTAGTACTCCCTAACGGATCTACAACTCTGGAGAGTTATACAAGCTCCCAGTTAGGGAGATGAGAAAGGTCCAAGAGACTAGGAGCCAATGTGCATATTCAGGTAAAAGGAGGGTTACTGAAGCGGGAATTAGTCTCAATGTTTCCTGGAGAATCCTCGTAGTCTAGAGGCCCATTCTGACTCTTGGACTGAAGAAACCATGCAGTTACTCATGAATTCCATGACGTTCATCACTGAGGAGACTAGACTGACCTCAAGTGTAGGAAAAACATCCCAATATAGGACCACCTCTATAGTCTTGGCTACTCAGTAGAAAAGTATAACCAGATACGTGTAAAATGATGACTGTAAAAAGAAAAAGACATACTATAGGAGCATTTATGCCCCCACATTTTTTATTTCATTATATATTGTGATTTTATAGACCTTTTTCATTCTATTTTATAACTTACAATATAATGTTTGTTACATTATTAGATTTTGTGATAGAAGCATGTGTCATGGTCTCCCAGACCCCTCTGCAACCCAGTAATTAAGATACTATAAACTAACCCTGTCCCTCTTCAGATCTTACAGCTCCAGGAACCCATGACACCACAGAGAGAGAAACAGAATTTTGATAGAAATAAACCTCTAGACTCTCATCTACAAGTCCTGTTCAAAAAGTAAAATCACAATATTCTCTTTATATGTGAGTCCTTAGGGTCAACAAAACACCACCCACGAACATTTTATTTAATTTTATTTGGGAAAATAAATATTGAAATATAATGATTAATTCTAGGAGAATAATATTCACAATATATTTTATTCCAAAGGATAAATCTCTAGGTTTCATGCTTGTCTCCACTCCATGTTATTTTATACAGAAAATTGGCTTCATTTTAAATATGAGAGTTTTAACTATATATAAGGCCCGGAGGAAAGATTCAGTACTAGAGGTCTAAGGAAAATACTAAAGATCTTCCCTTTCCATGTGCCTGTATGATGTCTGCATATCCTTGATGAAACAGCTAAAGAATGCTGATTTTGCTGATTTATCAATACATCTGGCTTGGTGGCTCACTCATTGGAACCCCAGTGAAGGTGGTATCCAAAAAGATGTTTGATGCTTAATTGCGGCCTCAGAATTCCTATATTACACCAATAGCCCTATGCCTGAGTTTGTAGGCAGGGGGTGTAAAGAGGGTTCCTGGTATGGCCTTCAGGCCTGTATTCAATCTCCTTATGATTTAATTACTGGTAATGTGAGAGTTAAGAGAAAGGATGATAAATATCTTGTAGCCAATAAAAAGTGCAATTTGCCTAATTGCATCAGTAGATACAACAGAGGGAAAGGAATATTAATCCTTCACCAGTCTTCCTTTATCTTACTACCAGACAAAATTTCAGAGCCATGGTATGCCTATGCTGGTATTCAGGTTTTCCAACAGATGCTTGCTCGAGTGACCAGACTTAAGCAAGATTTGGGCTCATAATTATTGATTATAATTTTTTATTTAATCTCATTCATCACTCTACATTTATCGTCTCAGTGGCTATATCTCAGAACATTCAACATGCAAATTTTCTTAATAATTTGGCTCAAAGTACATCCAAGGCCTTCAATAATCATAAATATTGATGAAAGTATTGATGCTAACTTGAATGCCTTAGAAACTTCTGTCATAAATATTAGTAATGAGATTTCTGCTCTCAAGTTCATGGAAAGGCTTAAATGCCATCTGACTATGAAGGTCTGTGTTACTGCAGCCAAATATAAGCCTTACCAATGGGATTTGGAGAAGGTGAAATTATCTAATAGGCATTTGGCATAGAAAATAATAATAGCCTGTATCTTATGGGGTTAAATCACTACATTCAGGATATTCAAAAAAGCAAAATCAATCCTTTGGATCCTACTTCTCTAACTGGAGATACTTCAAGAATGGAATGGCTTTAACACTGGAAACACATTGAAACACTCTGCATGGTATATTATTGGAATGAGATGTCTGCTACTAGTTCTTTTTTGTATTGTGATATAGGTTATCACACCCTCAGACAGGAATCCAAGAACTTAAAATAATGGCTCATCATTTTCTATTGCAAAGTCAAAAGGGAATATTCAGGGTGCCACTCGTGAATTACTTGAGGGTCTTCTCTTGGTATGGAGCCATGGAGATTTAGGTCTAACCTGGGGAACTATCCACAGCTCCCCAGAGTGCACTGGATTGCCCAAGACACACGACCCTAAATCTGCTCTACTAGGAAGACCCCTCTTGTAGCTCCAGAGTTGGGCATAACCCATTGGGAACTGCAAAGCCCACCTTCTACCTTATTTGTCAAAGAATATTCCATTGAAAACCTTTGATATTCCCTGATATAAATAAAGCAAACATGGGCTCCATTTTGCTCTTTTGAGTGTGGAAGCTTCATCCACAGATGAAGAGTGGCTAGCCCATCCCACCCCCACTTTTAAAATTACTTTCCGTATCCTGTGGAGTTTTTTCTGCTTTACCTTTCTTAGCTTTTATTTTGCAGCCAGACCATTCCACCAAGAGGAACTCTATTTTTACCACCTGCAGTTTTGAACTCATGATCATCTTTCCTCAGCTTCTTAAGTCACTGTGATTACAGGCCTGCACTACTATGCTGAGCTCTTGATTGCTATTTTTATTTAGCACTTTTTATTCTCATCCTATCTGTGTTTTGGAATTTAAAGTGAATCTGATGTAGACAGTAGAACAATTTTGTTTGGTTCTAGGTTTTATTCCCAATGGTGCCTTAACACTGGGCTACATCCCCAGCCACTTTCTAATATTATTGTATTTTATTTTCAGACAGTGTTACGCTACGTTTCTGATGCCAGCATCAAACTTGTGATACCCTAGCCTCAGTCTCACAAGTAGCTTAGTGACAGCATTGTTCCACTGTGTCCAGATGATGATGATTTAAGTCACCATATTTGCCCTCCAACTTGCAATCCTCTTACCCCAGCCTCCTGAGTTTCTAGAGTCACAGATGTGTGCTGCATGCCCAACTTGATCAATATATTTTCTAAAATTGGAACAAATTGGATCTATATGCATTAATAGTAATGAAAAGTAATAGTAATGAACCAAATGCTTCTTCTATGTTGCCACTTGTTTTCTACCTATATGTTTTTGGTTCATCAATTTTCCCACTATTTCCTATTAATGATTCATTTTTCTTGTGTACCATTTTTATTTTATTTTTTCTTTTGACACATGTTTTAGTTTTTCCTTAGTGACTGTTCTGGGAGCTCTAACATCTTAAATTTATGACAATCAGTTTTTATTCATGCCAAATTAGTTTCAATAGTATAGAAAAAATTTGCTGATCTTACAGATTTGTCCCTCAGTCCTGTTTTTATCTTTGTCATAGATTATGACTTCATGAATTGTGTGTCTCCTATGGCTTAATAGCATTTGTCCCGAAACAAGCTTATGTTTTGGACACTTGTTCCTTATTATGGTAGCACTGAGGCAGGGAACCTTTCAAATGTTCTGTCTGTTAGGTGTTAATTTAGTCATTGGGGACACCAACCTCAGGAGGAATGGACACTAGTCTCTTGGAATGACTTTTTGAGAAAATGATTTGTTATGAAACATCAAGACTGCCCCTCTATGCTCTATGGCTCATATTGGTCCATATGATTTTTTCCTCTTCCACTTGTCCCCAATCTGATGACAGCCACCATGCTGGAATAGAGCAAAGTGGGTACGCCCCCAAAGCCAAGTGGATGGCATCCCTTTATCTTGGACTCCCAGACTCTCAAATTCTGACCTAAATGACTTTCTAATTACAAACTACTCAGCCTTAGGTATTTTCTGATAGCAATGGAAAATGGAGTCTTATAGTCATTCAGCATCAATGTTTGTTTGGTCCTACTGTTATTTTTATGTTCTAAATGTTATTTTTGTGTTCTAAGTGTTACTTTTGCACTCATTTATCTTTAAAAATATTTAATTTTATATTTCAAAATACACCACATTGGAATGAATTGCAATTTTTATTACACATATAGAGTACAATTTTTTTTTATTGTTGGTCTTTCAAAACATTACATCTTTCTTAATATATCATGTTTCACAATTTGATTCAGAATGGTTATGAACTTCCATTATTACCCCGCATACAGATTGCTGAATCACATCGGTTACATCAGTTACATTTCCATTGATTTACACATTGCCATTCTAGTGTCTGATGAATTCTGCTCTCTAACCTATCATCTACTATCCCCCCACCCCTCCCCTCCCTTCCTCTCTTCTCTCTCGACCACCTCTACTGTAAAACATTT